TTTTTTTTTTATTAACCTATTGGATTGGGTCGGGTCAACCAAACCCACAAATAGAATCCAAATGAGAAAATAGGCAAAGAAAAGATCAAAACATGCAGACACAACCAGAAAAACTAGAGTTCATGTCATTTCCAGCAGAAATATACATTCATCCAACATGCAAAAGCAGATCAAACGTCGAACATTAAAGGGAATCTGGAGAGAAACGAAATGGAACTTAAGGCTACTATTCAGCTGTTCAACCAAAACAAACAAAGAAAAACAGGCATACATCCAATTGATTTCAGATCCATGAAATTAAAAAGACAATACTTGATTTCATAGGCGATATCAACCTCAAATACAAATGCAGTACATCAACACAAAGAAATTAAAACAACCATGGTGAAAATTTTGGAAGAAAACAGATCAGGATCGGAGGGAGGGATCCCACCCACGGGATCAAGCTCCAACCTTTCCTTCACCACCCTCTCCCAAAACCTCCTCTGATCAGAAAAGTTTACCTAAGGCAACAAAAACCAAGGAAATGCAGTCTCCTCCGGTGATCTCTTTTCTCTTGTTCTCACCTCCGGCAATTCCAAACTCAGACTGAAAAGAACAACCAAGAGAACTCCCTCTCTTCTCCTCGGAATTTCCTTCTTCTGCTCTCAAAAGCCCAAACGGAAAAATCTCTCACAATTGGACCCGAGAATCAACAAAGAAAACCTCTAAATCAAACTTCAAAACTCTCTCCAACCCCCCTTTTCAATTCACCGGTTCTTCCTATTTATACAAAATCAAACAAAACCCTAACTACCTTCTTCTCTCCTCATCCAAACCCTTCAATTTTTCTTCTTTTTCCTCCCACCGTTGATCGGGTGAGGCCAAAACTAGCCCTGCAGAACAGTCAAGAAAGCTGGAGCGTGATGTCATCCTGCAGGTTTGTCTCATGCTCGGTTGGCTGCAACGTGGGGTGCAGGATCCGGTTGCAGAAGAGGGGCGGCGCAGAGAGATTTTGTTGCAGAAGAAGGGCAGCGCAGAGAGGGGGTGTAGGCTGCTGTAGGCTCGACGGGTGCAGGAGAAGGGAGGCGGAGTCGGCTGGTTGCAGGGCAGGTTGCAGGCGTGCGAGGGTGTGATGATGGCTAGTTCGGTGATAGGGGGTAGGACAAGTTAGGGGTGTAGGCAGCAAGCCGGGCTTGGGTGAGGATGTAGAGCAGGGGCGCTGGGCAGGGGTGCTGGTGCGTGCAAGCTCGGTGTAGGCAAGCAGGGGCGTAGGCGAGCAAAGGGGCATGGAGCAGGGCATGGAGCAGGGCAAGGTTCGGGTGTGTGGGATTGGGGAAGAAGTTTCCAGATCCAATTTTTTATTTCCCCTTTTTTTTTTCGGGTTTTTGGCTTAAATGGGTTTTGGGTTTTGGGTTTGGTATTTGGGTTTTGGGTAATTGGATTTGAGCTTGGTTTTGGGTTTTGATGGGTTTTGGGTTTGGATAATGGGCTCAATTGAAATGGGTTAGTGGTTGGGTTTGTAAATTTGATGAATTTCACCTTTAAACTTTTGATTCCTTCAATTGAGTCCTTTCTCGAGTTTCCTTTCCCATGTCCTTCTTGAATTTCCCCTTTTTGCACCTGAAAGAAAAATGAAGATGTATTAGTTAAAGAAAAGAGAGATTGTCATATTTTCATTTTTTTTGTTTTTTTTGATTTTTTTAATTAATTTTTGTGATTAATATATATATATATATTTTTATGAAAAGTTTAAATAAACTGAAAGGAAAGATATAAACTCAATTAGGCGATGGTTTTTTAATTTTTTTTGTTTTTTTTGAATATTTTGACATGAGATGTATTCAAAATCCGTGGAC